CTGGAGCCCGCGCAAGCATCAAGGTAAGCACTCAGACCCCGAGGCCCGAGGTAGAGCGAAGCTCGCGAAAGGGTTCGGCAGAGCACAGCAGACACTTCTGGAAAATACTCAAATCTCGCCCGAGTCCACCCGCAAGTTTCCAACTCCACACCTACACAAACTGTTTCCTTCACCGCGCGGCTGAGTCCAAACCGCGGAACCGACGCAACGGGCCACGTATCCCTCGGACCAACTTCCTTGCGAAGCGGTGCGAGCTCAGATGCACTAAACGCGCATTGTTGGCGGATCAAGGCCAGGAATGCTGGACGGTGCAGGAGGAAGTAAGCGGGGAAGCGGATAAGTAGCAGGGGAAACACGTGCACACGCACGGACATACACACAACAAAACACACCAGCACACACCACACCGTGCCCTCCCCGAGAAAGCACGAACGACAAAATAATACTAGAGGGCGGCACGCGGCGCTGTCGCCAACTGCGGCACCGTGCTTAAACGTCCTCCTCGAAGAAAAATGATCGGCGACCGACTCGAAATCACACGCGACTCCTCCGTGGCCCCCGACGGATCGGGCGGTGGACGAGTGAACTGAAAACCAGATCACTCCCGATATACAGATGGATATCGGAGGGAATGCAATTCCTCCATCCCAGGCAAAAAATCCACCGCCGTTGCCCCGAGGCACCTTGTGGAGCGCCCTCAAGTGTTTCAGCTCCTCTGCCGTGAGTATCGTCATGCCGAGGGGCCCGCAGGCCCGAATTCCGTTCGCTCCTGGGCGCTGTTGAGGTTGGCCCGAAGACGAGTGCCCTGAGATGCACTGGGGGCGGTCCAAAAGGGACCCGAGATGGAACAAGAGCGCTCCGAGACGCCCGCCCCGAGACGCCGACCCGAGAAATCCGTGCGGGAGCTCTCTTGCCGTCGCTCGGACGTCCATTTCCCGTGCCTTTTTCGGTTTCGCGCGCGTTTTTTTCCCTCGATGGTCCAGGATGGTCCTCGAGGGTTCGCGCCGAGAAAAAATGCACACGTCCGAGCGATGCCGAGCTCTGGAAGCCCACGCGTATGCGAGCGGCGGCCCTGGCTGCAGAGAGCGGCCGAGTCGGCCGCGGCTTGTCACCCGATGAGGATGGCCCTTCGACGATCGACCCTCGACGACGGAAGTGCCCGAGACCCGACGCTGCAAAAGCGTTGGAACATCGCGGCAAGTCCGTGGGGAAAAGACACACAACACACAACAGTTGGAAAAACACACACACACACACACTGTGGGAAACAAAAACACAAACAACACACACACACACACACTGTTGGACAAAAAACACAAAAAAAAACTATGGGAAAACAACACACAAACACACACACACAAAAAAAAAAGACCGGAGCCCGCCCCGGGCCCAAACTTCCTGCAGCATGTTGCGCGCCGGATCGAGCTGCGATGGTCTGGGGCGCCCGAGACAGAGCATCAAACTTCCAGGGGAAACCCTCGTTCGAGTAGCGGACACGGGCGACGGGGCGGCCGAGTCGGCCGAGAAGCGTTGCGCGCGGCGGCGTGATCTTGACACTGGCGCCACCGATCCTGGAGCCGGGCACTAGACGGCCGCGTTTCCGCGGAGCGGGTCTCTCGGGTGGCGCCGGAAGAGCAGCAAGAGAAGGCGGGAGGATGGGGGTGCTGGAGGGGCAGGTGGGAAAAGGGAGAAAAGGGACAGGAGGAGGAGGAGGAGGAGGAGGAGGAGGAAAATGGAAAAAGGAGACAGGAGGGGAGAAGGAGGAGGGGGAGGAAAAGGGAAAAAGAGGACAGGAGGAGGAGGAGGAGGAGGAGGAGGAGGAGGAGGACAGGAGGAGGAGGAGGAGGAGGAAACAGGGAAAAGGGACAGGGAGGAGGAGGGACGAGGAGAAGGAGGAGGAAAAGGAAAGGGGACAGGAGGAGGAGAGGAGGAGGAGGAGGAGGAGGAGGAACAGGGAAAAAGGGGACAGGAGGAGGAGGAGGAGGAGGAGGAGGAAGGAGGAGGAGGAGGAGGAGAAGCAAGCAGGGGCGACCGCCCCTGGGGGTGGGAACGCGGCAGCGCCCGGCGGATACACTCGCCAACGTCTCGAAGCTCGGAGGAGGAGCAACAGGAGGAGCGGGGCCGAGCGAGCGAGCGAGCGGGCAGCCGAGAGGCGCCCCCTCCTCCCTTGGCCTCGTCCTCGTTTCCTCCTCCTCCTCCACCACCACCTCCTCCTCCTCCTCCTCCTCCTCCTCCTACTCTCGGTTGGGAGTCAAAACGGGCTCACAAGCCCCTCAGCCTGAAGAGCCACTTCCAGCAAATGGGGGGCCGCAGCCGTCCGCGTTGCGGGAAGCGGTTCTCCGGGCGAGGCGCCTGTGAGGCCGTAGCGCGCGGCCTAGTGCAACACACCGCGGCAACACGGGTCCTGCGGCAGGCCCGTGCTCGCCCATACGTATCCGTCGTACACAGAGGTGCCGACGAGGAGGGGTCCGCTGGCGCTGACGGCGCCACCGACCCACACCACCCGACTGGTCACCTTCACGCTCGTGAGGCCCAAGGGGAAATCCCACCAGCCCTCTGGGCGTAGGTGGTCTAGAACAGATCCTCTTCCACCCCTCCCTCTTCCCCCTTGGGGAGGGGTTTACCCCTCCCCCTACCCCCTCCCCTGGACCTGGACGGGGGGTTCGCTGGTAGCTGGAGCGTCCAAAACGGCCTCGGCGAGGAAGCCAAAATCATTGGTTTTACTGGGTTTTGGCCCCATGTTGGCCTCTTGGGGGGGCAGTGCTAATTGACCCCACCCTCTTCTTTGATCGATCTCCTCCAAGATGGCCCCAAGAGGCGCCCAGGAGGCCCCAAGAGGCGCCAAGATGGCCCCAAGATGGCCCCAAGAGGCCCAAAGATGGCCCCAAGACGGCTCCAAGTGGCCAAGGAGCTCCCTAAGGAGGCCCCGAAGAGGCCAACATCGTCCCAAAACCTTAAGAAAATCAATGTGTTTTGCTTTCTCCCCGTTTCGCTTCCGATGGCCATCCAAGGCCTCAAGGTGGCTCCAAGATGGCCCAAGAGGGCCCCACAAGAGGCCCAAGAGAGCCCCAAGACGGCCCCAAGAGCGCCCAAGAGCGCTCCAAGAGCGCCCCAAGAGCGCCCCAAGAGGCGATGTCTGGAGCTCCTGAGGGGGGAGGCTAATTAGGGAACCCCCCTTCGTTGATCGATCTCCTCCAAGATGGCCCCAAGAGCGCCCCTACAGCCCCCAAGAGCGCCCCAAGAGCGCCCCAAGAGGCGCCCAGACGGCCCCAAGAGGCGCCCAAGAGGCCTCCAAGAGGCTCCCAAGAGACCCCCAAGAAGCCTCAAGAGGATCTCCGAAATGCATTTAAGACGCTTCTGGCTCTTCGGTTCGCCGTCCTCTTCAATTTCTCATCCCCCTCTTCCTCCTCCTCCTTCTCCTCCTTCTCCTCCTTCTCCTCCCTCTGCTCCTTCTCCTCCTTCTCGTCCTCCTCGTCTTCTCCCTACTCCACATCCTCCTCCTCATTCTCCTCCTCCTCCTCCTCCTCCTCCTCCTCCTCCTCCTCCTCCTCCTCCTCTTCCTCCCCCTCCCCCTCCGACGAGGATTCCTTCTCCATCCTCCCCCTCTTGGGGTACGTGTCAGCTTCCCCCGCCCTTTGTTTTTCTGCATGCTCCCCGACTTCCCTGATCACCTCAACTCCCCTGCGCATCGTTTCTGGATGGGCTGGTAGGGATATACATATTTTTTGTTACAACCGCAGGCGGAAGCGCCGGCGGCGAGCAGTCACGGTCGGGCTGCGGCCGCGACTAAATTCCCGGGCGCGCGCGGGAGCCGCGGATCAGGCGGCGAAGCAGCAGCGACCCAGGGCGTCTGAGAGGCCAGGCGGTCGTGCAATCCCAGGGAGTCTGAAAGAACACCTGAGGCGGTCGTGCAAGCTGCAACCCAGGGAGTCTGAGAGGTCAGCCATCCGGGCGAGCCAGGCGCGGCCAAAATGGCGCGCAGTGCGTTCCAGGTCGTGATCGTGTCGAGACAACCGCGAGGTAGGGAACGATCTCCGCGCGGGCAGGCCAGTCCAGGGCGTCTGACGGGTATGAACAGACTGAAACTGGTGACGTCGTCCAGCAGGAGGAGTATTCTGACAGCGCCAGCGAACCGTCGCAGTATCAGAAAACGCATCCACGCAAGGGGAAGCCTAAGGCCGAACAGGCACAGGCAAGCCCGACCACTGCTGAGCGATGCGCCTGCGTTCAGAGGACCAGCGGTCTAGTCTGGACGCAGCAGGGGTACACGTGTAGCCATTCTGTGAGATCGCGAAGTCGCTCGGGAATGGACGTGCACCGATCAACTATGTGACCTAGCACCAGGCGAGCCACACACCCATGTGTGGAAGCGCTCGAAGGACATCAACCGTCGTATACCCAAGACAGAAGGGCTGGTGGGGATACGCGAAGCGTCAACAATTGAAGTCGGCAGCGCAGAACAGGATCGCTATCGTTCGAGCTGCCGTCTGCGCAGACAGTGCCCCAGGGCGAGACTCTCGCAACTCTCTGGGGCCCTCAAAGAAGCGCATCTACCGAGACGCGAGCCTGGTTTAGTGCTCAAATTTGTTTATGTAATCGGCCAGAGGTAAATCACCGCACCAACCAATCTGCCTCCGAGGACAATCACCACTCAGACCAATGCGCACCAGGCGCTCACCACCAACGTTCATCATCATGGCAAGATTCATTTCCTCCACTCTGGCACGGCCGATGTGGGTAGCTTCCTCCACGCTCGAGCCGCGCTCCTTCTTTCACGCGGAGCATCCAAGCCATGAAAACGACATGTAGTATAACTGCTGAGCCGCGGGCCTCTCCACTGCAGGGCCCACCAAAATGCCCGCCCACCTTCTGACCTGGCACCGTGCTTGAGGTTTTCGATGGGCGGCGCGGGGCGTTCAGTTTGGCGTCGTCTTCCGAGCTCTGCGGATGCGCCCCTGCTATTGCAGCGACTCGCGCTCTCAGCCGCACTACCCCGCGCC